AGCTAACCAAATATCTTTTCTTCGCTTGTCACACTAAATCATTGCTGCCAAGCATAGCAGGGAGCTGTCTTTGGACTAATGCAGTCTGGCAGTGAAAGAACAGCCCCAACAGGACGGGACGGGCTGAGAAAAATCACCTTTCTGCTACGACTTGGATTCTCTAACACAGTGTGAAGGTTATCTTACCCACTCGCTCCCACGCAGTGCATGTTTTACCCATGGTAATTGTGGTTCCAGAACAGAACAACAGCGATGTGAAATGGAATTACTTTTTACCCCAGGTTTTGGTTCAAAGTATTTAGTCTCAAAGGAAGTTTTTACTGATGATGATAATAATGAACTATAATGTGTTTTATATCAAAATGACCCAAAGTTCTTCTCACAATAAATTACTTTGGGATGTAACTAAACTATATAATATATATAGTGTATATACTGTAGTTTATATATATGTGTGTATAATATATATAGTTGATTTATATATAGGGAACTGCTTTTATATAGTCAAATATGAAAAGAAACATATAACTGCTATAATATATAATATATAATTAATACAAAATATATAACTGCTGTTGTATAGACAAACATGGCAACCAAACACATTAACGTGATGAATAACCACCCCCCAAGTTGGTTCTAACGTTCTTTTTATTCAATATGGTTGAGGGAGCAACATTGGCCAGAGCATAAGAACATAAGGATTTACTAGGCAATAGAAGACCAAGGTCCCACTAGTTTGCTTTGCACCATCCTTGGCAGTCGCTTGACACCAGCAGAACTCCCTGTTTTTCCTCATAACACCCCCAGAAAATCACGAAGAGCTTGTTTTAACATTGTATTGGAAGGGACAGCACATCAGCATGTAAATCTCCCTCAGCTCTGCACTGAAGGCAGATTATGAGCCCATATCCTTGTGTGCACTCAAAGTGACACCCCCCACACATGCATACACACACTCACACACACAAGCACGCACGCACACACACACGCACACACACACGTAGTGTTGGGGGAGATCCTGTTCTGAAATAAGACTGATGTAAATAACCCTTGGCTTAAATCCAGTTGCTGTACTAGCTGTTTTTTGTTGTTGAGTAAATAAGATTTGAGCTGGGCTTCGTTAACATTGCACCTTGAGCAGGAAACCTCCATCCACTGTGCAGTTTAGGCAACATCAATGAATCCATATGTAATGCATCTTTTTTTGTGTGGTGGTGGGGGTGTCTGACACACTCGGAAACCCATCACCGTAACTTAAGAGTATCCAAACCAAGCTGAGAACTCCATGCATCCCACCCACACGTGGAAATCCCAGACATGGAACTCCCATGGGTAGGTGAGTTATATGGAACAGGGAGAGACATCACGGAAATAAAGGCGCAATTATTGCTATCGCGAGCAGTTGAAGTAGGCAAGATGGTTATTCGATAACCACCCACTTTAAACATTAAAGGAAAAAAAGTCAATATTTTTTTAAAGAAAGCTTTTGTACAATGTTCCCTGTTATTAGGTTAATTTCCTATCTTCAAGTCATACTTTCTGCATTTCCATGATTTTGCGTGAATGTTCACAGACGTTGAGTTAGTTCGCTGGGCAACAAGACAGGTCAGCAGGGATCCTCGTGGAAGTGAGAAAAGGGACACTTTCCCCCCAGCTCATTATGGACTCTGGTAAGGATTCACACCCTGAGGCGCTAACTAAACAGAAAGCACTTTAACAGAGGCATTTTACTGCCCAGAGATGGCATCTGAATGTGACTGGGAACTGGGAGAGTGATAAAAAGCCAATCATCCTTCCTCAACCCACAAACTGAAGAGTCAACAGAAGGTTTACAAAGGTCCCTTTGATCTCTGTTTACTGCAGCAACAGGTTATAGGATGATCATTAACATACTCAAGGAATTAGTGTTGGTTTTTTTCTCCAGGGCAAATGTTTACAGTAAGAGCTAGAGCAGCATTTTCTGGAGGTGAAATGCAGCAACCAATCGCGCAGGGCAGAATCCCACAAACAGTCGTGGAATGAGCGACCAAATTAATACTCTTTTTTTGAAAAAATGTGAAGGGATTATTACCCCCGGAATAGCGATCTGGCAATATTCCAGATCCCTCTCCCCTGTCCACACCCCCCCAAACACATGCCTAGAGCAAGGCGATTTAATAGCTCAGTCCTTCCATTTAGTTCAAATAACCTACAGCACATCATTACTGAAAGCACTTGTTGGTGTTTGACGTTTGGAATGATTGTTTTCTTGTTTTTGCCAAAAGGTGTTTTTTCAATAAATGTTGCTTCTAATGAGAAAAGAGAAGAGCGGAGAGGAGAGGACCAGTGATGTAACCTTTTCCTTTGGAAAATGGACAAAAGTTTGTTCTTCAGTGTTCGTTTATTGACCATTTTAAGTCAGTGAATGGCACCTGTGATTTTGGCGGGATATGTTAAGTAGGGTCAATGTTTGACTCCTGGCGTCTGACTGAATCTACAGGGGATAAGTGAAAAAAAAACAACCCCCTCTCCCACCCCCTACCCACCCTGACTTTCATAGACAATAATTAAAACAAAACTGTCTCGGTGTGACATAAAAGAGCCCTAAAGCAGTCGCAAATGCCAAGGGCTCTTCTAGTTCTTATTAGAATGAGCGAGCAGTCTGCTGAGTCCAGTTATTGATGGCTTTTGTAAACTCTTAAATGGCAGATTAACACATTTTAGGGCTTCCACCCCCTCCCTCCCTTCCCCCTTCCCTCTCATGGTGAATATAGAAAATGAGAGAAAGAGAGAGAGAGAGAGAGCTTCAATCGCTCAATGCGTCAAAAAAATAGCTCCACGTGTGAGACATCTCAAGTGAGGGTGGCAGGCAAGACTTGAATGTAACAAGGCACACGTTAATAGGATTTAGTTTGGAAAGGTGCAGAACAACCTGTGTTTTTAAGCGGCTACGTGATGTATGGTTTGAGCCCTGATTGATTCAGAAAGAAATACCACAGGCATTATGGAATAATGTTGCCTTTTTGCAGAAGTGGAATATTTTACAGAACATATTTGAAAGGAATTATTAACGCATAAATTTGAAAGGAACTATGACACAGCAAGCTGGTAGTGCAACAAGTGCCAAGAAAAAAAAAACTAACGTGCAAGAGAGAGTCGAGGCATTTTTTTGTTTCATCTTTGACGGAGCGAGGGTTCGGGAATACCTTGAGACACCAGGCTGCATACATAAACTCAATTTGTGCCTCAGAGTCTAACCATCTGCCCGCAAGCATCAGCCTATTAAATGGATGGCAGGCTCGTCTGGTCTCAATGGACCGCAGTGGAACAATCGCTGAGAGGTTGCTGGGGTGACTGCATTGCCTAAGAGGTTGATGTCTGATCACTCTTCTGTCCCCAGAAGCACACTAAGGAATTTGCATAGAACTCTGCTTGTCTGTCTGCCTTCATCCATTGTCGATGCATTTCTGCTCTTTATTTGAAAATTTTGGCGGGCGATACTGCTATTTAGCTTTTTTTTAATATATATATATATATATATAAATACACACGCGCGCAAAAAAAAAATCAATAGTCCTTTGAGAAACAAAAGTTTCCTATTCAAACATACTGTGTAAATGAATGAATTAATAATTGAGCTTACAAAATGAGCTGATGGATGAGACTCTGGCTGAATAGACCCGAGGTTAGAGCAAGTTTAACGAGGCAAACAGAAAAGAATATTCTTATTCTGTCGACGGGCATAAACCGGTGTAACGTTACGGTTTCGAGTGTTTCAACTGAAGTGCGTAGAAACAAAGAAGTTAGTAAATACAGAATTCCACCATGACTTAATAAATAATAATAATAATAATCCTTGCATTTGATATAGCGCTTTTCACGTCGGGAGGACGTCCCAAAGCGCTTCACAGAACACACTGTAAAGTGAATTGACTGTATATTTGTGGGCGACTTCAGATTCACGGCAAATTGTATTGTTTTCGACACTGATAATAATAATAATCCTTTGCGTTTGATATAGCGCCTTGCCCCGTCCTCGAGACGTCTCAAAGCGCTTCACGGGATAGCCGGTAAAGTGGACTTGGCTGAAGAATTCTTAAGAATTGGTAGGAAGCTGGAAGGCTCGATACATCTTCTTGTAGGGAGAACATGCCAGATGGCCTAACGCAGTCACTAATGATTGCTACCTAGATAAGGTCGGCCGGCAGCATATTTAAGCAAGTGTTTAATATTGTATATATATATATTATATAGATATAATTGTCTAAAAATGAATAGGGGCAATTCACGGTCTATATTTATTGAAGATTTCTGAACAAATAGAATGGAGAAAAAGGGGAGTGCTGGTGTGTGTGGGTGAGTCTTTAATGCATCAATGGACTTTGATGAATAAATCCGAACTGTAAGCTCTTTTTTTTTGAGGGGGGGGGGGGGGGGGGGGGGGGGGGGGGGGGGGGGAGAATAGGACAGCCGTTGCCCTTTTAAATGAGCATCGAGGTCCTGGTGTGGGTCCCACATGTACGAGTTAGAGGCAGATCCCATCCCAATTCGGATTGGCCTCGAATCACCGCCCCTTGTGGTCTGATTGGGCACAGGGACTGGGGGTGGGGGGAGGGGTGGGGTTTGGGAAGGATCCCTCCCCCCAAAAAAACAAACCCTTTTTTGCAGTCACAGTGTCATTCAGACACAGCACCAGTCAGAGGGTCAGTGCTGCTCCATCTCTCTGTGGGAGTCATTTAAAGAGACTGAGCAAAGGGAACAGCACAGAGGAGGCATTAGCCCTCTCTCCCTCTATCTCTACCTCTCTCCTTCCATTTCTCCCTCTGTCTCTCCCTCTCTCTGTCTCTCTCTGTCTCTCTCTCTCTCTCTCCCCCTCCATCTCTCTCTCCTATGGAATAGCAGCCATGCCCTCCCAGGCTGGTGCCCACTGCCAGTTTCCTCAGGGATCATCCAAGAAAAAGTGGCAACAGATGGAAGGCAGTTCCTGATCACCGACTGTTTCGTAGAAACTCCCCCCCCCCCCCCCCCTTCTCAACATGATCATAGTCACTCCACTGGCACTGTGGACTTTCCTGCTCTCGTTGCTCAAGACGGCGTATTCCAACTACTCTGCTGATCAGTGTAACTGGAGAGGAAGGTATGGGATGGGGTGGATGGGGATGGGGTGGGATGGGATGGGGTGGGATGGGATAGATGGGGTGGGATGGATGGGGATGGAGTGGGATGGATGGGGATGGAGTGGGATGGATGGGATGGAGTGGGATGGATGGGATGGATGTGGATGGGGTGGGATGGGATGGATGGGGATGGGGTGGGGTGGATGGGATGGATGGATGGGGTGGGATGGATGCGGATGGGGTGGGAAGGGGATGGGATGGATGGGGATGGGGTGGGTGGGATGGGGTGGGATGGGGTGGGATGGATGGGGATGGGATGGGATGGATGGGGATGGGATGGATGGGGATGGATGGATGGGGATGGGATGGGGTGGATGGGGATGGGATGGGGTGGGATGGGATGGATGGGGATGGGATGGATGGGGATGGGATGGATGGGGATGGGATGGGGTGGATGGGGATGGGATGGATGGGGATGGGATGGATGGGGATGGGGTGGGGTGGATGGGATGGGGTGGATGGGGATGTGAGCGATGATGTGACTTAACAAAAAAAAAGGATCTTTTGGGGAAGGGGGAGTTTGAGAGGGAAAAAAACACACATTGTGGGGAGAAACTCGTGCGTTGTGATGTTCCTGTTGGGGACACAGCTCTAAGGCACCAACACTGGGGCTGAAGTTTCCCGGAGATCAGTAATCGCTCCTCTCACCCCATCCACACAGCGCGGGGGTTGTGCTCCGGTCTCTCAGTGACTTGAGTTTTAAGAAAACATATCCTCTCGTTATGCTGTTGGGAAGTTTGGGATTCTGGACACACAGCGAGTGTCGTCTGTATGTCTCTGAGTGTCTGTGTGTGTGTGTGTGTGTGTCTGTCTGTCTGTACGTGTGTGTCTCTGTATGTGTGTGTCTGTCTGTCCGTGTGTGTCCCTCTGTATGTGTGTCTCTCCGTATGTGTGTGTGTGTGTCTGTGTGTCTCTCTGTATGTGTGTGTGTGTGTCTGTGTATCTCTCTGTATGTGTGTGTGTGTGTGTGTGTGTCTCTCTGTCTGTATGTGTGTGTCTCTGTATCTGTATGTGTGTGTGTGTGTGTGTCTCTCTGTATCTGTATGTGTGTGTGTGTGTGTCTCTGTATCTGTATGTGTGTGTGTGTATGTGTGTGTGTGTGTCTCTCTGTATCTGTATGTGTGTGTGTCTCTGTATCTGTATGTGTGTGTGTGTGTATGTGTGTCTCTCTGTATGTGTGTGTGTCTCTCTGTATCTGTATGTGTGTGTGTGTGTGTGTCTCTCTGTATCTGTGTGTGAATCCATGTATCTGTGTGTGTCTCTCTGTATCTGTGTGTCTCTGTATCTGTATGAGTGTGTGTGTGTGTGTCTCTCTGTATCTGTATGTGTGTGTGTGTATGTGTGTCTCTCTGTATCTGTATGTGTGTGTGTGCATCAGTCAGCCCTTAGGGTTGTGAGGAGTGCAGGGTTAGGGTTGTTGAAGGGAAACCAACGTTTTTGTAAAGTTTAAAGGGTTATTACAATAATATTAATCATAATAATCCTTGCATTTGACACTGCGCCTTATTGTGTCTTTGAGACGTCTCAAAGTGCTTCACAGACTATACTGTAAAGTGCATTGACTGTATGTTTTGTGGGCGACAGTTAGGATGTAGTTAAGTAATTATGTAGTTAAGAATGCGGTTGCTTTGTGTAACATGTGGAGGAATGTGCTGCTAACGGCCTTTTTATTCCCCCCTCCCCAAGACGAGAGTCTCACTTTAATGCAAAGTCCAAAATATGAAGCCTGTCAGGCTTTCAGTTCAGACATTCAAGGCAAATATACACAGCCGTAACATGCTGAGCTCAACGTCGAAATTAAATGGGGGAGACGAGAGGGTTTGGGGGGGGGGGGAACCAAAACATCGGTAACTTCTGATTGAAAGTTATTCTTCCCCAGAGATTAATCTGATACAATACACGTCTGGAGTATTTTGCAGTCGTGTTTCAAAGCCGGGAACAAGTGCATAATACTGCAGCTATCTCATTGACTGAGACGCTGGGAGTGATGGGGGTTACAGAGCATTGAGAAACGCTCTTCGATTCGCAACAGTTTATTTTGTGGGGTGGGTGGGTGGGGGGGGGGTGTCAGCCGGGTGTCTGAAACGCGCGAAAACCCATCACCGTTGCTTAAGAGTCTCCAAACCCAGCTGAGAATTCCCCGCCTCCCACCTACACATGGGAATCCCAGAGATAGATTGTTGGAATGGACTGCGCTCTCTCTCTCTCTCTCTCTCCCTGGAGGGACTCATCCTGTTTACCTAATTCCGGAGAGTATTAGGCGCAGGTTGGCAAGAGCCAAGGTTCGGGCTGGGGGGGGGGGGTGGGTGGGGAGCCCAGAGTGTGCGTTGGGGTAACTGCTGGAGTCTTAACAAGTTAAAACCGCAGAGCTCGCCATTGACATTGCTGCCCAGGAGGCTTTCCCGCTGCTTGTCCAGCGAGGTCCACCCTACCCGTTAGGGCTTTGGTTTGCAGGGTTACAAGTTACAATACAATGTTTTTTTTGACGGAACAGATTTCACTCTTCGATCCCCTTTTGTTTTTAAAAAAAACCCTCTCGCTTCACAGTCTGTGAGCGCCACTTATTTGTGTGTGTGTGTGGTGGGGGGGGGGGGGGGGGAACGAGCAAAATCTGTGCTTCGAGTGAGACCAGTGTGTCAGTTTCACTCAATACCCATTTTATTTAGTACAAGTGTGAAATACAATCCGTTTTGCTGCCCGGATCGTTACTCAAATGTACTACATTTAAATGCGTTTTAAACGCTGCTTGCATTTTGTTTGTGGGATGAATGTAGCAGGTTTTTTTGAGGTGGTGGGCTGGGGGGGGGGGGGTTTGCATTTGATTAAACCCGGATCTCTTTGTTATCTTTGCCGCGCACTTTTTTTTTAGTGGTATTGTTGTAAAAGTTATTGGCTTGTCCATCAACCCCAACTGACAGCAGCAGCAATCCACAGAACAGCAACAGAGCCCAAGTCTATCTCCTTTATAGGAGGGAGAGAGAGAGAGAGAGAGAGAGACAGGGAGAATATTCATATAACAGGGAGGGTATACAAAGCTTTTTCTGTACCGAGTTTATTAGCAGTGGGGAGAGAGGTTAAACGCGGTGAAGAGAAAAGGTGGTGGGGTTGGATCTCTGGTAAAACTTTGATAAGATTCTTACAGTTCTCAGTAATGAGTCTGCCTTGAGGTCTTGCTGTTACTCTAACGGATCGGTTGAGTTTCATGTTATGTATCGTCGTGGATTTCAAGGCTAAGATAGATGCAAGCGGGCAATGCACGATGTTTAAATGAAACAAGACCCAATCAATGTGGAATGGAAACGGTAGCGGCGGCAACTTTTAGTTGCAGTTTAAGAAGAATTGTGTTCAATCGAATTTCACTAACTACCACATTGATCCAATTGCCAAGTAACTAACAATAAGGAGATTTCAGCTTTGGACTTTATCAAAGCTTTAAGCTTCAAAGGATCAAAGGATGTCCCTTATCTCCCTTAACTGCGTTTCGCCCATAAAAACAGTCACTACACTTTACGGTATATTCTGTGAAGTGCTTCAAGACATCTCAACGACATAATAAGACGCTACATCAAATGCAAGGATTATTATTATTACTAGCGAGTGAGAGACTATTCACATAATAGAAGAGGATAATGAAGCCTTTTCTGTATCAGGTTTAGGGAAAAGCGTTCTGGGACGCTACCCGGAGTGAGGGGGGCTATATAAATGCAAGTTGTTGTTGGTGTGGGCGTGGAAGGACTGACCGACTAACTGACTGTTGTGTTGTGTTTCTCGTTGCAGTGGTTTGTCTCAAGAGCCGGGCAGTGTGGAGCAGATTTCCTTACACTGCGCTGAGGGTGATGTGGAATGGCTGTATCCAGTGGGTGCTCTGCGTCTCTTACTCTCTCCCCGTCTCCCCTCGGGGTCGGTGGGCTCGGTGGCTCGGGGGAACTCGGGTGGCCGTATCACGGCCTGCATCAAACCAGCCGAGACGTTCAGGGGAGCCCAAATCTACCTGGAGAGGGAAGGCGAGCTGCAACTGCTGGTGGGAGATCAACAGGAGAGGGAGAAGGAGGAAGAGGAGGAGAGGGAGAAGGAGCAAAAGAAGAGGAAGAGGAGAGGGCAGCCACGCCCGGCCAAGGTGCATTGCTTCAGCCGCCAGGCTGGGGAGAAGGTGGCACTCTTTATCCAATCCACCATCCACAGGGACATCAGTCGCCGCATCGCTGCCTTTAAGTATGAACTGCGAGGTGACTGGGGTTCCGGAACACTGCTCCCTCATCAGATAGAAAGTAAGCAGCACTCGCTCACTCACTCACTCGCTCGCTCAGTCGCTCGCTCGCTCAGTCACTCACTCACTCGCTCAGTCGCTCGCTCGCTCAGTCACTCACTCACTCACTTGCTCAGTCGCTCGCTCGCTCAGTCGCTCACTCGCTCAGTCACTCACTCGCTCGCTCAGTCGCTCACTCGCTCAGTCACTCAGTCATTCACTCGCTCGTTCAGTCACTCACTCACTCGCTCAGTCACTCACTCACTCACCCAGTCACTCACTCACTCACTCATTCACTCACTCATTCACTCACCCAGTCACTCACTCATTCACTCACCCAGTCACTCACTCACTCGCTCAGTCACTCACTCGATCAGTCACTCACTCGCTCAGTCACTCACTCGCTCAGTCACTCACTCGCTCAGTCACTCACTCGCTCAGTCACTCACTCACTCAGTCACTCGCTCATTCACTCACTCAGTTACCCATCCACCCACCCACCCTCTCACTCTCTTACCATGCATTTTCCCCTTGATTCTCTCTTAAACCCGTTTGCTTGTCATTTTCAGGGCAGCGCAAGGTGGGGGGGTGTGGGGGGCGGTGCGGGGAGTGGGGGCTGTTGGGCAGAGAAAATGAGGAGAAATGCCAACCAACTAACCAACTTGAATACTGCCCCCAATATTGTCTTAGAGCACCTAATCTTAAATTGACTTGGGTGTTTCAATGCTTCATTGCCTATTATTATAATAATAATAATTAATAATAATAATGCTTATGTTCGTTGTAGCTCCCTAATTCATTGAAATGGCTCAAAGCACATAGCCGGTAATTGCTGTCGAGTGTAGTGACTGTGGGCTATGACGGGTGAGTTACAGAGACGAGGAGGGGATCTCTTCAATAGATATCTTCAAAGGCCTTGTTAGATTGATGACACATCAGTGGACATCTTTCACTACACCCTCTCAATGATAGACTATCAGTGACAGACACCAGCAATTTTACCTCGGAGCAAAGGACAATGGGTGGAACAACATTGTGAACAGGGGGATGTGCCCACGGACAGAACCCTGAGGATCAGCCTCTTTTCTGCTAAATAATAATGATAATAGTCCTTGCATTTGATACAGCACTTTACCACGTCTTCGAGAAGTCTCAAAGCGCTTCACAGGATACACTGTGAGTGTAGTAAAACTCTGCAGATGTTAACGCAAGTTAAAAAGTACACAGAGAGAGAGAGATAGAGACTAGTTCAGAGAATGAGAAAACCGTGCTGTGATCGGAATGACCACGGCGAATATTCTGGAAGCCTCGGTTTCCGGCGAAAGGCTTGAACTTTTTGAACGCCAGCGCGGTCAGCAATCCTGCTTTGCGCTGGCGTTTACACTTCAGAAATGCACTGAAACCAGGTGCTTCTGACACCAACTTGGTAACATGGAGTTACAAGGCTTTAATGTCGCCCCCCAACTCGGCTTCCCATGGCTCGCAGATAGAAATTCTCTCCCTTCTCTGAACACAACTGCAGGGAGGGGGTGGGGGGGAAAAAGCTGCAAGTGCATTATGAGGGTCAAGAATGCCCTTGTCTTTTGTAACCCCAATAGCACCCTTGTGGGTGAATAAACAAAAGCCCAGTGTGTCAGGACCCAGTACAAAACTCTGCCTTTTATTCAGATGCATGAAAGATTAAGGATTAGCGGAGTCGTCATGGTGATGGCCAAGCATTCCACGAACCGGGAACGTCTTATCATTTAGTTTTTTTTTTAATTATTACGTGCCAAACTGGGATTTCATCGATTTGGTTTGAAGTACCGGGAGAGGTGGGGTGGGGGCGGTGGGGGTGGAAATGAGAGCTACACGGTAAGCCAGAGAGAAAAGTTTTCCCCCACACCCCCTCCCCTCCTCTTTAAAAGTTAGTTTACACAGTGGAAATGGCTCTCTCGCTCCTATCCAGAATGAAAACCAGAGTTGCCTCAAAAGAAAGTGAAAGAACAGAATCTCGTCAGCTCCATGTTCTGAGCACCAGATTGTGCCCATCTGTTTGCAGTTAAAAAAAATCTCCCCCCCCCCCCACACTGTGTCAAATGGAGAAATTCAACTCATTTAACCGCGCTTGAATTAGTTGGAGAGAGAGAAGGGGGGAGTGGGAGAGAAAAGCAATAGAATGATTTATATATAGCATCAAATAGTGTATTAGAGTGGACTTTTTTTTAAACTTACTCTCTCTCCCTCCTTATAAAAAATTAGTATTGTAAATCAGAAGTTACACATACCGTAATAATCTTTTGATACACACATTGTCTTGGCGTAATAACACAATTGCAAGATGTTTGGCACTCCAAAAAATTTGCTCACACAATACACTATGACTGAACTTGACAGCATATCCTGTGAAGCGCTTTGAGACGTCCTCCTGATATGAAAGGTTTTATATCAAATGCAAGGATTAATATTATTATATTTAATTCAAAAATAGACAACCACTGCCTTTGATATCAAGTTTGCCTGTTTTGCTTGATATTTGAACAAAATGATTTTGGAGTAGAAATACCGTATATTAATGGATCGCCACTGACCATTTTTTACAACCAATGCTTTCAGCAACAAATCTGATGTTTCTAATGATCAGAAGACCTTGCACTTTGAGTTTTATTAGTCCTACGTTTAAGACAAATGCAGCTTCAAGTCTCTGCCGTAAAGTGTTACCCTAAACGTCCTCAGTATATTGCATCTGGTGGTGTTATACTGTCCTGACATAGCAATGAGGGCGATTACAATGTGACTCCCTTCACTGTGGGGGTTGGCATGTGGTTCGCTTACACTGTTTGCCTGACTTTGATTAGTTTTCCACACACTGAATGGGGATCATGAACAGTAAGCTCTTTTCAATTGGGAGCAAGACACTGGCAGTACAGCAGGCTACCCAAATCTTTAAAAAATTACGAAGCCAGGCTTTGGCCCACGAGCAAACCCAGTGTGGTTGGTGCGGAGCGAGAACAATGTGCGGAGACCACCTCTTAGAAACTGTCTCGCTCCCACCAGTAGTGGGACTCGGCACCGGTTTGTGTGAGGACATTGGCATCGGAGTGTGGAAAGCTTGGCAGGGCACTGGTGCCAGGGTTACAGCACAATACCCCGCCATAAGCGATCAGTGAATACTGCGGAGAAGTGAAACAGAAACAAGACCCTCTGCGTAACAAGGAGACTTGCTTCTGGTACCCAAAGCCCAGAAGAGTTTGGTTTCTTTCCAGTCCCATCAGAAGCAAACGTTGGAAGTCTGCCCCGTGCTAATAATGTAATGTCACAGCATCGCTTTGAGGCTTGGGTTATAATAGCACAAAGTTGCAATGGGACACACAATACATCGCAGTGTTGAATTGAGACTCGCATTACAATATCACAGCACCGCTTTGGCTCCATGCTAACAGACCTCATGGCACTGCCCTGGTATAAGTCTGTCTGTGCGTCTATTTCTATTCCTGGTTCAGAATTGGTCTACTTATATTCAGAGTTATTTCAGTTCTGCAGTAAGAGCCTGTCACTCGAGTCAGGTCAAACCATTACAAATACGTAACCCAACCACTGTCACACGAGGGGATGAAAAATGTTGGGTTTCTAAACATTTCGATGTGTTCAGTGATTACAAAAACGCGCATTTTTGTTCTCCCCAAGATCTCAAAAGACTTTGTTGAGGCGTCACAAAGCGCTTCACAGAATATACCAGAACGTGAATTGACTGTGTATTGTACATACAGGTGTTGAATAGTCACAGTGGCTTTGCATTTGAATTAGGTTTCAGATTTGTCTATATGGTCGATTTATATCTTCCTGTTGAGTCCTAGTCAGGTGCAGGATTGAGATTGAGAATGAGCTCAGCTTGGATTGAATTCATCCCTGCAACAACTGTGTATCTGGAATAATCACCATTTGAGGCTGACATTTGTTTGGTATTCCTTAAAAATCTTGCAAAAATGGCAGAATATCTTATAAGTTCATAAAAATCTTTACTCTTGCAATGTGTTCCACACACCTCCCTTTACACCCAGGGTGGCCTTGATTTAGTTGAGCAGCTTAAAATGGATATGAAACTGCACCTTAATGTGTGCTTTGATTTGCACAGGGTTCATAGGCTGGTTTCGCTCCAATGCTATGTCTAGTAATAAGGGAAATTAAAGGTAGGTGCTTTGGCTGGAAACACACGATGATCAATAAAATAAATTGCCCTGATGAGGACCTCAGGCCAGGCTGGTCCTGAACGTTACAAGGTGCGAGTTGATTGTTACCAGATGCTTGTCTTTGGTTAAGATATTGAATAGATTATCAAAGCGAATGGTAAACCTTTAATGCACGGCTCACCAAAGGCAACACTGAGAAGCAGTATTTAGAAGGGTAAACCCTCTTACAATAAGGCCATGGATGGTTTGGCACATGTACATGATGTTATGATAGAAACTATTCAACTTGTTTCAAGTAAGTAACAAAGGCTTTTCATACTGCTATATAATGGGTAAACAGCCAACAGGGAAACAATATAATTATTATAATAATAATCCTTGCCTTTGACATAGCCCCTCATCGTGTCTTCGAGACGTCTCAAAGCTCTTCACAGAATATATTGTAAAGTGTATATTTGTGGGGAAAACGCGGCAGCCAATTGCGCACAGCAGCGTCCCCACAAACAGTCGTGGATTGAAATGACCAAATTGTTATTGTTTTTTTTCCTTAACATTAACAATGTGTTAATGATGGGTCAACACTTGGAAAATGTAAATCAATTCAGCTTTAGAGTAACATATATCAAAGCAAGAACTATGAGGTTACTTTGTGGGAGTTTTTAATGTATCCGTGGATATTTAACTAAATAGCAAAGGTAAATAATAATAATAATCCCTACTTTTGATATGTGCCTTTTGAGTTGTGCCCAAGCACTTCACAGGAGTTGCTGTGAAGTGTTATGACTATGTGTTCGTAGATGAACGTGGATATAAGATACAACAGAAAGTAGACAAGTTGTCCTTCCATCCCTCA